CGGACCTGTACACCTGGAGAGGTACTCCTGCTTCCATTTGGGAGACAGGATGACTAGTGCTTGTAATCTTTCTGTATGAATGAATGAGTGTTATACCAAGTCTGAATCAAGAGTGATTATTCCTCCCCCGTAACCGGGGTATGTGCTCGCTACAATACTTCCAAATCACTCTTCCACATCAAAGGAAGTCAGGACAGGAAGCAGGGCAGGAACCTGGAGGCAGGAGCTGATGCAGAGGCCATGGAGGGTGCTGCTTATTGGTTTGCTCCTTTGGCTTGCTCGGCCTGCTTTCTTATAGAACCCAGGACCACCAGCCCAGGGATGGCACTACCCACAATGGGCTAGGCCTTCTCCCATCAATTACTAATTAAGAAAATGCTCTACAGGCCTGCCTATAATCTGATCTTATCTCTTGTATAATATTAGAGGGACCAGCCTTAATATTATACATCCCAGGGGCTCAGGAGAGAAACTACGAATGGTGAGGACTATTTTTGGAAAAATAGAATCTCAGCACACCAAGCTCTTTAGTCCATTCACTTTATGGAATCTCTCTAGCTTTACAGTTACATACCCAAACAATCACAATCCTCCCCTCCAGCCAGGTCACCAGGCCTGAATTCCTGCAAGGTCATAAAGGTAGGTAAGAATTTCCTTAGGCAGTGAGTGTCAGGCTTTCTTTAACAACCTGAAAATCGAGTGGTTAAGAGAAGAGAGCTAATATCAATTAGTATAACAAAAAGAGAATTTATGTGCTCAATCTATATTCCTAGGAGTAGTTAGGTAAGAAGTTAAGCATCTATAAAGTTAGTAAGGCTGTAAGAAAGGAGGGTCCAAGCTAAATTGGGTAAAGCTATTACTTAACGTCCACCTGACCTAGAAGGTATCTCCTTGTGGAATTTATCTTAAGTCAGGAGACTAGCATGTGGACTGTTATTTCTGTTAGTCCTCGATTCCAATGCTGAAAGGAAAAAAACAGATGAGCTGGGAGGAAAGAAGCCTTTCCTGAGGCTGTTCTCCAAATACCTGGACTGTGTATGTCCAGAGAGTGATCAATCCACACTGTTAGCCCTTCTTAGGGAAAAATCAATTGGGAAAACTATGAAGGCACACATGATTTTCATAACAGAAGACAGCTGATATATAACAAGCCAAATAACACCAAAAGCTCCTTGGAATTTGGCTTCCTCTGAAGGAAATCCTTGATCCCTTCAGGTAGTGGCTTGCCATAGCCAGCTGAGTTCTTACAATATTTTCCTGTTGCCTGTAGCACTTATCAAAGCATTCTCTTAATTGAGGTTCCTCTCTGATGACTTTAGCTTGTGTCAAACTGACACAAAACCTATCTGGCACTGTGTGTGTGTGTGTGTGTGTGTGTGTGTGTGTGTGTGTGTGTGTGTGTGTGTGTGTATGTGTGTGTGTGTATATGTGTGTGTGTATGTATAGATGTATGTATGTATAGATGTATGTATATAATGATTTTGGCCCTTCCTTTTCACCCCCATTACCCTGTCCCATCCTGCTCCACTTCTGCTGAAACCATCTACCTGAGCAGACCCCCTCCTATTTTCCTGTTGTTTTTGACAACACGGGAATTCATCTCATAGAATTCCAGAACTGGAAATGATAGTGTGGTGACTTCTTCTCACGAGGCCTCAGGGATCTAGACTTTATTTTAATGTGCAACCATCTACCTCCTCTGTGTTCACTCCATGGCCCAAAGGGGCTGATGAGCTATGTCCATCAACTCTACATTCCAAGTTGCCACAGTGGAAAGGAGTAAAGAAGAAAGGGTAAGTGGACCCAGCACCTCTTTAAGGAGGGTTTCTGGAGCTGTCGCATGATACAGCATACCCCATTGGCCAGAAGTGAGTCATGTGACCACGATAAACTACAGAGGATCAGAGGAATTTCATCTTTATTCTGCACTGTGATGTTCCCAGCCCCAAGCCAAGAGCACTATTACAACAGAGGACAACAATGAATCTGAACACTGTGACAATCAAGAAACTGAAGTGTGGTCCCCAAAACCTCACTGGGCCCTGTGTTATAAATCAGTAATAACAGGACCAGTAGCATGCTTGGCCAACAAATCTTGGCTCTGGGGCAATGTAAAGGTTACATTGATTGTCAAATCCACATAACTGGACAGGACCTACAGTCACACAGGAGATGAACCTGTCGACATGTCCACCGGGGAGTGCCAATATCAGGGTAACTGGGGTAGTTAGACCTCCCTAGCTATGAATGGCTTCATCCTGTGTCCTGAGATCCTAAACTTAACAAAAAGGAGAAAGCCAGCAGAGCACCAGCTTGGGTCTCTCTCAGCTTCCAGACTGTGGATACAATGTGGCCAGTTGCCTCCAGGACCACCATGATGGACTGTCCTGACCCTGAACTGGAAACTCCCCTTCTATAGTCACCTGTCAGGTGTTTTGTGACAGCGATGAGGAAGTCAACTAGTGCAGACTACAGAGATAAGTAGAGCAGACCTCTCCAGATGAAAATTACAGCTGCTGTGCCATGCTAATGTACTCAGGAGACATCACTGGGTATACAGGAAGAAATAACTAAGCCTTCTAGGGCATTGCAGAGATAATCTGAGGAAGGAGGAGGAGGGGGAGAGGAGGAGGGGGAGGAGAAGGAGAAGGAGGATAACAACATGGAGAACAACTTTGATTTGTAGGGACCTTGGAAGATAAGAGGATTGTTATGGGAATTCATTGTGCCAATAACCTTGGGGTATCTAGCTTGATAGAGGTGTGTTTTTTCTGGGTACATGACTGCTTAAAACTGAGGAGGGGGTGTGTGCTCTCTCTCTCTTGGGGTGTTTGGAGACTGGACGTCTGGTTCTATTCACCCCTGGGCAGAACAGAGGACGGCGACAGCTGCTTACTTTATTCTGTACCAGTGAGTGTATTTCTCCCTGTTTTATATCTTAATAAATCTTTGATACCCTTTAACAGACTCTCACAGATTCACTTAACAGAGAACTTTCTCAGGAATGAGCAGGAACAAGTCCAATGTCAACTGCTGGGCACATTCCCAGCAGTGGACAAGAGAGTCTTGGTTTACCTAAGTGGACTCAAGTGAGTAATTAGGGAGCCGTACAGAGGAAAGTGTTTTACTGACTCTGACTTCTATGCATCCAAAAAATAAGGAGGGAGCTGGAGAGATGGCTCACTGGACCTGGGTTTAATCCCCAGCATGTACATGACAGCTCACAATCATCTGTGACTTTAGTGCCAGGTGTTCTGATTCCCTCTTCTGGCCTCTGAGGACACCAAGCACTCATGTGGTATACAGACATATATGTAGGCAAAACGCCCATACACATCATCATCATCATCATCAAAATAATAATAATGATGATGATGATGATGATGATGATGATGATGGTAACAACAACACAAAAAACCTCAAACAAGCAAGCAAACCCAAAAAGGATAGAATGCAGCGCCATGGTTAGTCCTTTAATTTATTTTAAAATTTATGTTATGTATGAGTGCGCGCGTATGCATGCCTGTGTGTGTGTGTGTGTGTGTGTGTGTGTGTGTGTGTGTGTGTACCTGGAGATGCCAGAAGAGGGCATTGGAACCCTTAGAGCTGGAGTTATAGGAAGTAACTTAGTACTGCCCAACATGAGTACTGGAACCAAGCTCTGGTCCTCTGGAAGAGCAGTAAGCACTCATGGCCACTGAGTTTTCCGCCTAGGCTCGTTCTTAAAGTAAATGAAATGCAACTAGACTTATTTCCATAGTCCAGGTTGTTCTCTGAAATACTGGACACTTTTTCATACTGAAGAACAAATTGAGGGCCAGTGGGATGACCCAGTGGGTAAAGGCACTTGCTGCTGAGGTTGAGGACATGAGTTCAATCCTTAGGTCTCAGTTGTTGGAGAGAGAGCTTACCCCTACATGTTGTCCTCTGACCTTTATATGTCTACTGTGGCACATGTACACACTTACACACACTAAATAAAGGCAAAATTATTTTAAAAGCAACTCTCGCGTAATGGCAGAGATAAGTTAAAAGCACAGGACTGTGGAATTAGTAAGAGCTTTCATGATACACATTTGTGCTAAACTGACGAACAATAATCTCTTTGAGAGGGTAACCGAGCTCTGGGAGAAGACAGCAATAAAAGCAATTTATCATTGCAAATGGGATATGCAGAGGAAGGCAAAGTGCCTTTCTGTAATCAGAGCTATTACTGTCGACGGAACTCAGGCTGTTCCCTTAGTGACAGAACCTCTTTTGCATATGGACAAGCAGTTGTTTTCTCCATGGCAGCCCGGAAACTTTCAGGCGACTCCTTGGTTTCTGTTTTGCACTGGCACACATGCATTTTTAATATCCATTTCTGTGGAGAGCCTGAAACACCTGAGTGGATGGCAACATCGGGCACAGACAGCCAAGTCGCAAACCTTAATGATAGGCGCTGTCAGAACGGACCCAAAGCAACGTGGAGATGCTGCTTTCCAAAGAACAGCATAACCCCACTTTACCAAAATCAAAGGAAGGGTAAGTTAATTACTCCATGCCTCAGGGGCCTGCCAGGACTCACCTCAGAAACCAGTGACAGGATGACATAATTGCCTGGTGGCTGCATGGGGAGATGCTAACTATGACAATTATCATGTTCTATTCCCCAACCAGATATCTGTGCTCATTATAAATATTTCCTTAATACGTTCTGTAATATAGCATGTTCTGAATTTAAAAGCTTGGTTATTGAAGGTGAAGGCTCTTGATTTGATACTGAACAGTGCACATTTTACATATCAGAAATTTGGACAAAATATATAACCCTCCCAGGCCTTATTTCTATCTGTGAACCTTGTGAGGAATTGGGAGCCGGGTGATTAATTATTCATTCATTTAACAAATATTTATTGAGCATGTAACAGAATCTTTGTGATGACTGTAATCATTGGACACAAGAAAGACTTCAGCTTCTCCGCATGGGGCTGTTTATTATGCACAGGATGTCCCCATGCGGTCACTGTGGTGTTCCCAGGGCTCAGGGCTCTGTGAAGCTGCTGGCAGCTGAGTGGCCTCACTATACACTGATGGGCACACAGAACTGGGGCTGGCTGACAATGTTGTGTCCCATTCACAGTCTCTTTGGGTCCTAAGAGCAAGCACAGACAAAATATTTCCTTAGCTTGGAATCCCAGGAAGCATTTGGGAATCGAATATGGTGGCATATCCCTACTATAGACTCTCTCCCTCCCTCTGGCTTGCCCCGTCCTTACCATAAGCCCCAAACAATGTCCCAGCTTAGGAGAGCTACCCCTGATCCAGTCCCTGCCATGCACCTCCCTCCAGCAGATACTCATCTGGCTCCTGTTCCTTCTGGGGCTGCTGGTCTGGACCACTTAGCGGAGACTGTTCTTGTCTTCAGTCCCCTGGATACTATCATTTTTGCTCTTCATGTTCCTGGCACACATCACTCTTTTCTTGTTTCCATGCACATTCATTATTGGTTTTAAATGCCAAGAATGTTTCCCCAAGAGTGGGAGGGACCTCCTCTGCCTGATTCTGGCATATTCTTCGGCATGGACAGGGCATGGCAGCACTCATAAGCACTTCTTCTGTTCTCTGCATTAAACAGACTTGAATCAGGGTAATCAGGATGCTTGTCAGAGAACCCTACATGGAGAAATGCTTGCTTTGACTCACAGTCTTAGAGGTCTCTGTGGGCAGTGTTTGGATCTGTGGGTTCTGGGCCATCGTGAGGCAGAATACCTAGGCAGAGGAAGTGAGAGCGCAGACGGCTTACCTGATGGTGGGAGCAGAGTTAGGAAGTAGCTCGTGACTAGGTGTAAACCTTCCATGTTCCCAGTGCCACTAACACTTGACCTTAGCGGGGGATCAAGTACTCAGAGACTTTAGCAATATTCAAACCTTATCTGGTGTAATTAAGTAAATAAATAAAACTATAAAAATAGCAGTCTGCAAACCTGCCTTCTCCATGCTGATTTCGTGCTGGCAACTTTAGAGGTGTTTGAGGTACAACTGCCACACTGACACCCCAAAGGGCATCAAGGTGCCACTAAGGAGACCCAAATTGAGTGAGATGTGTGGGCTCCTTTCTGGTTCTGCTGCTCTCGGACATTGCTGGAGTTCTTCAGATTCTCTGCAGATGAGGAGGAGGATGGTGAAAGCACCTGTTGCTGTCTTGAGAATTCAATGTAATCATTTAGGCAAAACTTACATATTGTGGTGATTTGAAAGAAAATGGGCACTATTTGGAGGTATGACCTTGTTGGAGGAAGTGCGTCACTGTGGGAGTGGGCTTTGAGGTTTCCTATGCTCAGGATGCCACCCAGTGTCTCAGCAAGGTGTAGGAATCTCAGCTACTTCCCCAGCACTACATCTGCCTGCATGCTGCCATACTCCCCACCATGATGATAATGGACTGAACCTCTGAAACTGTAAGTGAGTCACCCCAGTTAAATGTTTTCCTTTATAAGAGTTGCCGTGGTCATGGTGTCTCTTCACAGCAATAGAAACCCTAACACACACACACACATACACACACACACACACACACACACACACACACACACACACACCACATTCTTTTGTTTGTCTTTCAAGGTTTTCTCTGTATATCCCTGGGTGTCCTGGAACTCACTCTGTAG